CTATACCAATTGCTATGCTGGCTAGGGAGAAGGCAAGGCAACAGCGACCCAGGTGCTAGCTTCTTTGCAAGCAGCCTCCCCTCTCACCTGTACTAAATTATTTAGTTTGTTGGGTTTTGGCTTACTCTCTTGGTGAACTTACTGGTTTATAAATCATGTTTTAGGGCTATGTGTTATGCAAGCTGACTAATTATGATTTATTCAGTAAGTCATGATTAAGCAAACTGATATGGCATGGTCTCTATCAGATTTCAGTTTGCAGCAACGTCAAGGATTTGTTCATAAGAGCAATACTAACTGTAGAACTCCTTCGGTTTTAAGAAAGTCTTCCACAACAACCCTAAAGATGTTTACATGCTTGTATTTACAGCAGAGGTCTTCAAACTTGGCAGCTTTAAGACTTGTGGACTTCAACTCCCAGAATTCTCCAACCAGCATAGCTTAAAGCTGCCAAGTTTGAGGATCCCTGATTTTCAGGGATACAACATTTCAGAAGGATTTTCATGAAGGATCTTCATGTCATAAATAGGGTCCTGTTGTGAAAATAAGAAAAGAGGTCTATTTTAAAGGACAGTTTAAATTGATTCACACATTGTAAGCTGTGATTTGCTGAATAAACCACTGTAAACTGTTAAGCCATAATCTAAAAACTGCAATATGCCAAGAAACCATTAAAAAAAAACTATAGTTTAGTATAATGGGTAAGTGCAGTGTAGCATACTATTGAGTTAATGTAGATTCGTATAAAAGGATGGCTCAAATGTGACCTGTCTGGGCAAAAATTAATTGGAAATATTCAGCTTATGCTTTTAATGATTGGTTATTTTTATATATTTAGTTATATATGACCACGGAGACGTCTTCAGACACTGCTGGCTCTTCAGCTTTGAAACTGAGATGAGCATCGCCTCCTAGAGTCGGGAATGACTAGCACATATGTGTGAGGGAAACCTTTACCTTTATTTTTATGAAAAGATAGATATTGCCCTAATACATCAATACAGTATTTCTTTCTGTTTCTACAGTATAATGTGAAAATATGCTGGGTACAAGATTCTTTTCCCTGTAAAGATTAATTGTTGTTCTTTTCTAATTATTAAAGCTATTTTTATTCTAGTTAGGTTTTTTTTTTTTAACATCACATATTCACTATATTAGAAGGACTGTGATGCAGCACTTTCCTTATTGTGCCATGTCCTTTTTCTCAGAATTACCTGCCTACAGTATACCTAATTTTAAAGAGCTGGTATATAGTGGCTGCATAAGGGATGTGGTGGCTCAGTGGCTAAGACGCTGAGCTGGTCGATCAAAAGGTTGGCAGTTCAGCGGTTCGAATCCCTAGTGTCGCGTAACAGGGTGAGCTCCTGTTACTTGTCCCAGCTTGTGCCAACCTAGCAGTTCGAAAGCACGTAAAAAATGCAAGTAGAAAAAATAGGGACCACCTTTGGTGGGAAGGTAACAGCGTTCCTTGCGCCTTTGACATTTAATCATGCCAGCCACATGACCACGAAGACATCTTCGGACAGCGCTGGCTCTTCGGCTTTGAAACGGAGATAAGCACCACCCCCTAGAGTCAGGAACGACTAGCACATATATGTGAGGGGAACCTTTACCTTTACCTTTATATAGTGGCTGCAGATGATTCTGAAGGAGGAACCACGAAGCCTCCATTTTAGAAGCTACCCTCGATTGAAATGAGGTATCCTCAGTCTAAACCAGGGGTGTCAAATTTGCGGCCTGCAGGCTGGATGCGTCATGTGCTGTCCACGCCCACCCACCTCCAGTTTAGTGAAGGGGGAAAAAGTTGCAATACATCACGTGATACTGTGACGCCCCTGGCCTAAACCATTCTGACTCTGTGACTATCTGTAATATAAGAGTAGTACAAGCCAAAGCATGTTTGTTCACAACATTATGTCCAGTAGGGCATATCTGGGCAAGAATTGCACTTTAAGGAATATATTGCAGTCCTCTGGAGTCAGAAATGACTTGATGGACTGTAACAATAACAAATCCCACTTCTTAAAAGTGTTTCTTAAAAGTGTTGTTCTAGGATCCCTAGCATCCCATATGACCTACTGAACCAAAATTAACTTTGTGATTTGTATTTGTCAGATGTAAATGCCTTATTCTCCAATGTGTAAATAATGTATATATGGAACATCAGAGGTTAACTTATTCTTTGGACTTTAATGTATTCATAACTTACCACTCCCATTCCTAGCTCCACCCCTTGTATATATAAGGAGCCACCCTCACCATTCTCGTCGCTTCTACCTTGAATATTCAGTGAATATAGAATGCCTATCATAATTAAAAGGAAATATATTTAAAGCTCTAACTCCTATTATCTTTATTGAGTCTGATCCTGAAAATATTGCAACAGTATTTGCATCAAGCACTTAAAGTGTGACTGGCTACTTGTTCAGTTGTATAACACAATGTGTAGTATAAACTTAACCACCTAGAGTTGCTTGATGATATTACACATTTAATAAATAAAACACAATTTTTCCCGATGAGTTCTAATAGAAACAAAAATTCAAGCAATATCACAAGGAAACTTCAATATGGAGGACGGGTTGAGGCAGTTATTTGAATATAAATTCTATGAAGGCCCAGCTCTTGGGCACCCTGTACCTTTAAGAGATGAATTGTTATCTTTTAAGCAATTTTTTTTGTCCGGGTATAATACTCGTATTATGTTCAACTCAGTAAGAAATTGACAAGCCTTTCAAATTTTCAAATCCTCATGAATAATGTGAGGCATTTAAAAGTATGGACACTTTTGCCTTTTGATTTATCCCAATACACATTTTGCCCTGTGGATTTGCGATTTCTCAGCTTTGTTTCCTGAATGTTTACATAGCTTATTTTGAAACTTCCACTCTCTTATTGCCTTGCGCTCTTGTTATTCTACCAGCATTGTTGTCTAAGGATTATCGTAGTTAGAGGCAAACATATGTAGAAGGCAACAGATTGGGGAAAAATAGCTTTCAGCAGATTGCAGGATGGAGGAGCTATCTTCACAGAAGTTCCTCATTCTCTGAGGAGATTCCTAAATCAGAGTAAGCTATAATGTGGTTCATTTGGTTCTGGTTTACCATGTTGGGTGAACCAACTTGTTACTCTTTATTAAGCATGTCATACAATATTAGGCAAGGCTAGCCAACAGCAGTTTATTCAGGAAATGTACAGTATTTTTTTATTTATCATACAGATAGTCCTTGACTTACAGCCAAAGTAAATTATGACCATTTTTCACACTTACAACCATTGCAGGATCCCCCTGGTCACACCATCAAAACTTGGGTGCTTGGCAATTGGCATCTATTTATGAAGTTGTAACCTTCCCAGCAAGCTTCCGACAAGCAAAGTCAATGTGGAAAGCCAGATCTGCTTAATGACCACATGATTAATTTAACAACTGCAGTGATTCCCTTAACAACTGTGGCAAAAAGGTTGTATCAAATGGGGCAAAATTCACTTAACAATTGCCTTGCTTAGCAATAAAAATGTTGGGCTCAATTGTGATTGTAAGTCAAAAATGGCTCCCTCACAACGGGACTCTGGATGATATACAATAAATTATGAGGGTATAAGCAATTCTCTTAATAATTTTAAATTAAAAGGATTAACTGATTAACTATGAATTTTTATAACCCAGTGATGGCCCTAGAAAATGGTACTCCTGGCTGTATACACACATGCTCTACTATAAATAATGATTTACAAACCAGTGTTTAGGTTTAACCACCGTAGATCGGAAAACAAGCCATATTAGGAATAACTATATTTATTTATTTTATTTCTATTCCCACCCATCTCAATCCAATTCACTCTGGATTGAGTCATATGGTGTGAATACAGCTAATGACAGTCTGATCTTGTTTTCTTGGAATTTTTTTGTCTGAAGGCTACTGTTGAAAGAGAGGTAAATCAGTGCAGAGTGGATTTGTCACAAGGGTTTGACTTATCTAAAATGAAAGAAGTACCAGGGACTTCAAAGTAGGTTTGTTGAGGGGTTAATAGGAGCAACGTATTTGTCTTGTGGCTTCATCAGCTTTTCTGTGAAAGGGGGATTTGGTCACTGACTTGAAGCCATCACAAGACTCATTCCCTGAATGAGCAGGCAACCCCCCCCCTCCCTAAACTTGTCAGTTGATTGCACCCTTATTTAACAAAGTCTTTCTTCCTAGGATCTGATTCACATTGATTCATGGGCCAGAAACTGTTTAACTCTCCTTTATGGCATAAACCACATTCAGAAAACAGCCTAAACCCAAACCATGCCATCTTAAACCCTTCTTATATTGTCATTAAAAACCAAACTGGGGTCTATGACAATTCACCATGCCCAATTTGGTGCAGGACAACTCGTCACAGCCATCTCGCTGCAGGACAACTCACTACAGGACAAGAGTTACCCTAATATCAAAGAAATGGTGGAATAGAATCATTAAAGAAAGGATGCAAAAGGAGGACAGAATGAAATGTGAATGGCACAAATTAAAATTATTATTTATTTTAAATAATTAAATAGAATTGTTAAATTGTCCCACAACGAGTTGTCTCCCATGAGTTGCCCGTGTCCTGCACCTAGTTGCCAGTGGCGGGTTGGCCGCAGTGAATTTTCCACAAGTTGGCTGCGGCAAGTTGTCCCATTCCCACCAAACTGGCGGCCTAGTTATTAAAGGCTACAACTGCGGGGGCTTTAGTGGCGATCCATTGGCTGTAAGGGGATTGTGTCTAACAGGGAGAAGGGTTGACTTATCGGGATGGCATTCCCTAGATCTCCCCTATGAACCCGCAACTATTCTCTGTTTTCCCCGATGTGGGTGCTCAGAGCGTTATGCCTGCCACCGCCCCCAAGGACTCTGCACTGGGTAGTCGCCGCGTGGGATGCCTTGCAACAACTACGCGGAAAATCCAGCAGGAGGCCAACTGGGCCCGGGGCGGAGGTCAGAGCGGGGAAAGGAGGAGGGCTTCTCCGGCCGGCGGCGGGAGAGTTTAGGGTTAGGCACCTCCTGTGGCCAATCCCGCCAGCGTATGTGACTTGCTGCCTCCATCCAAAACTCCGCCGTTCGGCTCCTGGAACAACTTTGAACCGGGAAGGCGAGAGATTGACGGAGGGATCGGGCGGGGGGACGGAGCCTCCTCCCCCCGCGGCATGGCGAATCCTCCTCCTCCTCCTCGCAACCTGGGACAGAGACCCTTTAAGAGGTGGGGGCAACGCCTGGAAGGCTTGGCTAGGGGGTGATTTAGGGAGCGGGCCGCTAGGAAAGCCGCCTTAAAAACGCCCTGAGGAGAGAAAACACCCTTTGGTCCGGGGGAGGGAAAGAAAGCCGAACCACCACCAAAGTCTCCCTCCAAACTTTTCGTATTTTGGCCCAGTGAATGAGATTTCCACCCCGGTCTCCCTTCTCCTCCGCGTCTCTACCCCCCACCCACCCACTCACCCACCCATCCGTGTCCCGGGCGTGAAGTAAAATAGGATGGTGGTGCACAACGCCGAGCTTCGCTTGGCGCTGATTTGCCTCCTCCTGCTGCTGGCTGGAGCGAAGCCGAGCCGGGATCCTGCTGCGGCCAGCTGCGAATTCCGCGGAAAAGTAAGTTCTTGCCCCGGGAGAAACGAAGTGCGGGCGGAATTTCCACCCAGCGCGGGATGGAAAAGGAACCCCACCTCCCGAGTTCGTCCGGCAAAGGTGGGGAGGGCGGCTTGGAAGGGGAGTTTGCTTCTGGGGAAAATCGGGGGGGGGGAGGGGGGGCGCGCACACCTCCAGCTGTTTCTGCCTCTTTAAGGTCAAGGGAACCTCCCGAGCTTTATCCGTCCGTGCAATTATTTTTATTTTTTTTTCATGCAGGGCGTTTAAGCTTTCCACCAAAAGCTGGACTTTTGGGTTTGCGGGATGAAGATGGCAGAGTTGGTCGGGAGGTGTGTTTGTTAAAAGCCGGACCTACCTAAGTCCTGCGGGCAGAGAGGCGAGGCTTCCTCCCTTCAAACCGCAGTTGAGGGCAAATCGTGAGCGCCACCTTATTGTGCTTTATAAATCAATGAGAACAATGTAAGCTACCTGTTATAGAGATGTCACCTTGGGACGTGGGTGGGTACCTGTCGGAAACGTTTTAGGAGTACTTTGGTTCAGGAAAGTGCACTAGGCAGTCAGCGGCTGGGCAGATCCGTGCTTACTCAGGGAATAAGTCCTCCCCTCCCTTCCCCCCCACCCCCACCAGTGCAGGACTTTTGTCTAAACGAGAGACTATCCGCATCCGTCTTGCTCCCCTTCAACTCCAGGTGTGTTGAGAGCGCAAGTTGGGTCCCCGAGTTGGGTTTCTCTCTCCCCCACCCCGCAACTCCTCGGGATGCGTGTGAATGAATTTACTAAGCTGTAAACTGCAATTCCAGGTTCCCCCTGTGTAGGAGCTGAGTGGAAGGAAGGGGAAACCGCTTTTCCAGGCTCTGGGAGATTGGAGAGATAGCGCCGGTGGTGTTTTCTTCATAAGGGAGAGAGAGGGGGCGGGGTGTAAATTAGCCCTTGATGGGATTTAGAGTGCCTTTAATGAGATCCAGCCGGGAGAGGAGATAAGGTTCAGCGGAGGTGCCTGCCTGCTGTTTGTTTGGTTCGGCCTCTTTTGAGTTTTGTTTACTTTTGACACTCCTTCGCCAAAGCTCTGGATCCCCATCCCTCCTTCACACTGTCCGCACCTTACCAAGATGCGGGGGGGGGCTGGGGGGAGGGCGGGGAGGAGCTAAATCAGACAGATTCCTATATTATAAATGAACCTCAGCAGCTGCTCCTTCCTTCCTTCTATTTGTTTTTTTATCTCTTCTAAAAGAAATTTCTTAAATGGCTATGTTTAAATCTGTTAAAGACTGCTTTTCTTTCTCTTGCAAAAGTCTACCTGATGATTTTGGGGGGCATTTTAACTAACTAAATAAAATGGTCACATTTTTCATAGAGACACACCCCCCCCCACTCACCACCAATGAAAAGTTCTACAGAAGATTGCAAAGAGCAAGCTGATCTTTGAATGGCTTCTATAATCTTGTTCCCTGGAAATACTAATTCGCCCAAAAATATAACATACTAATTCGCCCAAAAATATAACATTGGAGTGAAATTATTTTTTAAACAAAACAGCCTGCATCCTAATCCTGGCTTGTCCATTGTGCTGTTGTACTCTGGGAAGTATGATGATGTACACCCAATGGCTTATCCCCAAATAATATAAGCTTGCAGCTATAGTTAGGAAATAAAAACTGTTGAAGTGGCCTTTTCTTCTTCATAGGAGGGAGTTGTTTGTCTAATATTAAGGCATGAGCAGTTTTACTCAAATTTTGTAATGTCTTTTTTTTCTTGTCATACAAATGGTCAAAAACTCTAGAACTCCAGGGCAGATTTGAACTAGAGTTGCAGGAAAAAGTAAATTCATGTGTATTTTTTGTATCAGGAAAATACCTACCAGGTCAGGCTATACACTAATATCAGGGGAGTCACACTTGTTTCTCAAAATAATTCTAAAAAGAATGGCTTTAAAATGTGTAGTGACCTCATTCACTTATGTTCCATCCAGTTTAAGAAGCAATTTATGTACAGAATTGTGGGCCTTGATAATAGCAATAAAGAATGAAATTGAAGAAATAGACTGCTAAAGAAATCCAAGCATTCAGTGAGAATGGGGCAAAAGTCCAGAAAGCAACTTTTCAAATGGTTTTAATCCTGAATACATTCCTTGAAAGCAAGTCAGTTTTAATTTAGTGTCATGCAGTGCACTGGGGAATCAGTCTGGTGGAGTGACATTAGAATGGTATGTGGCAATGGCTGAGCAAGAATTAAAATATGCAGTTTATCAGCAGACTAAAACAATGTTTAAAAAAACCCAGCAAGAGTTAGTCAGAAATTAGTGTTATCTCATATAACTTTATTCAGAAGTAAATCCTGCTAAATTGAATGACCCATGGCATTTTAGCTATGCTTCTACTAAAATCAGCTGGTTTTATGCTAGTCCTAAATTATTCCTTTGCTCTTAATGGCATTTAGCTACCATTAAATCTGACTTGATTTTAGTTCAATTCCAAGTGATGCTGAAAATTTTGTTAGAAAATTATGGTACTATCCAAAATAACAAATGCTTCAGGGTGAGATTCACACAGTTCTTTCCTGATGATCTAATTGTGCAAGTTGGTATGTATGAGTAATTAAATTTCAGCTAATCTGATTCTAGTCTAGTCGGATTTTGGAAAACAGTGAATTGGCCCTAGAAACTAATTGACAGGCATGGCATTCAATGAAGCACTATCATAATATGATCATTGACATGGGCCTGCTCACAATCTGTTACTGTGCTCTTTATCTCTTGGAGTTGCTGCCTATATAGAATGTTACAACAATCTGACTTGAAGATAACTAAACTATAAATGACCATAGCAAGATCAGTGTTCTCCAGAAAACACATAATTGTTGCATCTAAGAATAATAAAGGAAAAATGGGACCCCTTGTAGGACTTCAAAGGCTGGTGGCTTTGAGGCACACAAATCTTTACAGTACATCTATTGAGACGTTTTGCCTCTCAGAAACAATTGGATCTATCAGAAAAGTTGCCTTCAAGTTACTTAGAAGAAAACCATGGCTGATAATATCAATACCAGCAGAGAGGTACTCCAGGGGTGGGTTCTACTTACCTTTACTACCGGTTCACAACGGGGCCGCGCGCAAGCACAGAAGCTTCTGTGCATGTGCAGAAGCATTTTGATGATGTCAGGGTCAGTGGGCGGAGCCTCCCGCTGGTTTTACTACCGGTTCTATAGAACCGGTACAAACCGGGGGCAACCCACCACTGAAGTACTCCCCGTCTTTATCTCCCAGTGTACCTAACCCTACCAGAATCATCAAAGCTCTCTGTAACTCTAAACCAAACTGAAAATCTGATTTTTAAAGGATCCAGATCACAGGTGGATAACACCTGGGCTGTTAATCATGTTTTTGTAGCCACTGATTAATTGCTGGTCCACATTCTCTGGGTGGTATGCTGTCTGAGAAACTGGGTGATAAATAGGTAAGTCTTGGTTTGAATCTTACATCTTCTGTCGTATCCCTAGCTGGCCTTAGGCAAGCCACATGGCAGCAACAGTAAAAAGACAGATGCTACTTCTGGATTTATTACATACAGCAGTAAAAGGTTAGCTGGCACTTGTGACAAAATATAGGGTGGGGGGAGGGATTTAGTTACTCTCTACATCCAAGGAATTGGGCACTGCCACATGCATCTCGAATGTTATGGTCCCCAGTGAGCCCAAAGGCTTATAATAAATTTCCAGGCATCATGTATTGGTCAGACTCAAAGCAGATGCTGGCTAATATCAATTGACAGGTCTTTGCGATGCCAATCATTCAAATATAGGCTTTTTTTAAAAAAAAAAGGGTTAGCTGCTCTTCATGTATTACTCCATCTGCCACTTACTTGGCTTCCAAAGTACCCCCACTAGCTCCAGTGATAGTTCTGTAATCTAGGGCGCATCTGAGGGAGAACATTGCATCCATCTCTTCGAAAGGGATGGAAGCTCCTGGAACCTGAATGGACAGAAGATACTGCAATGACAGAGGTGACATGTTATGGGAGAGTTTTGGACCTCTGGATCCTGATGAAGTAGACAAAGTTCCCTGCAATTTTAGCTCTACTACTTGTGATTTGTACCCCTGCTCCATCTGGGTAATCAAAGTGGTGAAGGAGAGCATCAGTAGTTTGATGCAGGCTGCACTCAATGCCTCTTTGAAGGAAGAGGAAATGTCAGAAGGTCTTAAAGATGGATTGGCTTGCCCAGATCTAGATCTAACAAAATTGGATAGTTTCCTTTTGGGGGAAGGTTATTGAGAAAGTGATGGGGCTAAAGCTACAGAAGCTATGAAGGATATCATAGTCCACATCTGGACTTTCAGCAGTTTAAGTTCATATTTGGACATGAAACAGAAACCAAACTAGTCACTTTCATAGTTGAAGGGGCCTAAATGGAGGTGCCATGGCCATCCTTGTCCTTCTAGAACAAGAGTGTCAAACTCACGTTGTCATGTCACATGACGTATTGGGACTTTTCCCTCCTTTGCTAAACCAGGCATGGACATGGCCATCACGTGATGTATCCCACAGGCTGGGAGTTTGACAGCCCTGTTCTAGAACTTTCAGCAGTTTTTGATACAGTTGACTAAGATATCCTTTCTGAACCAACTGCAAAAGTCATGAGTTGGAGTCAAGCATTTTGCTAGTCCTTACCTGAACAGACAGACCCAGAGGGTGGTTATGGTAGCAGGGGAGAACCCATGGCACTTTGTATGAAGTGTCTCACTATTCAGTCCTTCCTCCTTGCTGAAAGAGGTCATCCACCATTTCAGGGTGAAATGTTATCAATATGCAGATTGCATTCAGTTTCACATCTCCTCCACTAGACCCTGAGTCTAGTGGAACATGTGGGTAAAAATAACGATCCAAATCTTGAAGCTTTCATCTCCGATAGGGAAAAAACAGGATTAGACTCATCCTAAAGAAGACAGAGTGGCTGTTGATCGAGTTACTAACCGATTCTGGGGTTGCACCATTTCTGGTTCTTGATGG